CATTAGAGAAGAACCCGTCCATAAGACCTATACAATTTTTTTCTTTTTGATTTTTTACCTGGATTACTGATATGCATCAGGACTCTTTAAATGTTATTAATCAATGTTAATGTTAACAGCTGAGGGTTAATGCTGTCACACATTTTGTTAATATGTGTGTCACTTATTATCCACTAGGTGAAAATATATGAACTCAAATAGGACTGTGGAATGTCATTTATAAATCTGAAGAGAACAACATGGCATGTCTGTTGAAGAACGTTCATGGGTTGACTAGGTTATTTTAGTGCTGTAGAATTAGCTTTTGCTAAAAGTTTCAGTGCATTAGTGCTTTAGAATTAGGGGGCCTAAATATTTGAGTTAGTGTTTTAGGGCTAGTGGAACTAATTTTTAGATTAGTGCTGCCCACCACTGGTTACAACAAAGAAATAATCTACCAAACACTGATTTCCTTACTTTTTGTGAGAAGTATAGAAGAAAACACTGAAAACTTGAATTGTACATTGTGCAATCCAGATAACAACTTCCTTGAACATTAATATCAAAAAAGTGCGAACGGTTTGTAAAAYATATAAAAAATGAACCCAGGATGCAATAATTTCCTAATCTCCTAAAACTCAAATGTTTACTTTGTTCCACTATGAATAAGATATCAAATGTTTAAACTATTTTTTTTTACATATTTTAGAGAAAAAAAGGAACTTTTAATTTGATGTCTGCCCATGCCRTATGCACTTATAAAGCCCTACACCATCAGCGAGGCATGCTTTATGATCTCTCTCTCTCTTTAAGTAAAAAAGATAACTCAAATTTGCATTTGTCTGACCAGAGAACAATTATGCACTTTGCCCCAGTCCTATTTAAATTAGCTTAGCCCAGATAAGACAGTGATGTTTACATGTGGCTTCTTATTTACGTGATAGAGCTTTAATCAGGATTTGTGGAAGGCACAGTGAGCTGTGTTAAACAGATGATATTTTATGGAAGTGTTCCAGAGCCCATATAGACATGGATATAACAGAATCAGGTTTTAATGCTGGGCTGCCTGAAGATCTTGAGCGTCCAACACTGACTTTATGTTTTTGGCACAGTTTCTCCTGATCCTTGAAATCTTTTATTGATATGATTTGTAGATGGTGACCAATTCAAAGTCTTGTCAGCTTTTATTTTGAAATTATTCCACTAGATTTAGAACCTCGGCCCATCTTTACTTCTGAGAGATTCAGCCTCTCTAAAATTCTCTTTTTACATTCGGTCCTCTTCATGACTCGTTGCCAGTTAACGTGACGCTTTCACAGTTTTTTTGTTGCCTTATTCGGTTTCCTTATTTTTCACCAACGTTGGTACAATTTCTTAGCTCAAACATTTGATGTTTATTATGTTCAATTATGAATAAAATGTGAGTTTATGAGATTTGTAAATCATTGAATTCTGTTTTTATTTACATCTGACACAAAATTCCAACTTGTAGGTTTTTTTTTAATTGGCGTTAGACGTGGGCTTATTTTACACCAAAAATACCTTTTCAAAAATCTAGGTTTAATCACAGTTGTGTGCACAGGAAGTTGTAATGAACTAATCCTTGTACAATATCAGATGACTGCTTACTCACGCAGGCTTTAAACACAGGCCAGTGGGTGAGCGCACAGATACATTTCAGCGCCTCCGGCCTGTGGGTTCTGACACAAATGGCCAAATCGTGTTTGGCACAGTGTGGAGAAACAGAGCCGGTGACCAGGCGCTGCTRGCCATGAGGCACAGTGCAGCTACTGACACTCAAGATGTGGCGGCGAATTAAAAAAAAAAAAAGAGAAAAATCCCCAACCACGTGAGGATCTCGTTACCTCCACCTGATCTTTAGATGGTAATAAGAAAAAAGACTGAACAAAGAGATCTAACCTACAAAAGAGATGCTCTTATGTAGGTTAGGGGTCTTCTGAGCGGATAGATCAATGGCACACAGGGGGGGTGAAGTTGTGGTTGTATGTTCAGGACAGGAAAGTTGGTGGTGCAGATCACCTCTGTCTTGGGACTATTTGAACATGATGTCATTTTGGATTTATCAGACGGTGGTTTCCCAGAGGTTTCTTCTTGACTGTCATTAGATGAACTGTAAATTTAATGAATTTGAATTGTGTTTATAAATGTTTTAAAATGTGTTGGACATTCAAGTTATCTGCACAAACTGAATCAATGTTTATATGGACTAGAGGCAGCTTTCTTGTTGTATCTTTTATTAAAAAAAAGAAATGTTTAAATAAAACATCTTTAGAGACAATTATTCTGGATCATGACAACCCGATATTCACTCTCCGTTATGATGTTAAAACGTCCACATCATTTGTGCTGAGTGTGCATTTTTTTAAAAAAGGAACCGCCCAAACGTCACTCATCGACGAGGAAGTTCATGAGGGCAGTCCTGGGGGAGAGGATGGCTCGCTTGATGTTGCGCTCGMTCAGCAGCTTCTGTCCGATGGGACTGTCCAGAACCAGCTGCTGGACCAGGCTGGAGTCTTTGGACACACGCACGGGGATCGTCACTTTCCCGCACGGCTTGTTGTTGATCTGAGGGCAGGAGACAGAAAACGAGACTGAGATGGGTGTCTGCTTTTTCGTTCTGTGAAGCTGGACCCAAACTTTCTCCTGCCAAAATAAAAGTCCCAAAAATATCGGGCCCCACCTCTCCGCCTACATCTCCAGAAGACGCTTTTTAAACACATAGTTAGTGGTAGGTATTGGAAGGGCACTGAGCCGTGTAGGTTTAGAGACAAGTGTGTGCATGTGCATGGTGAATGTGCTCACATCTCTGGATGTGGTTACAAATTAATGTGTGTGTGTGTGTGTGTGTGTGTGTGTGTGTGTGTGTGTGTGTGATTGTGTGTGTGAGGCCACTCAGCTCAGCCTTGGCCTCCCATTCTGGGACAAACCCAGGACCATGATTTGGGGGAAAAAAGAGGGCATGAGGCCACAACAGACGGCTCAGTCCAAAGGAAAACCAACCTCATCATCCATGAGCGCTGGGAGCCCAGAAATGTGTGTGTGTGTGTGTGTGTGTGTGTGTGTGTGTGTGTGTGTGTGTGTGTGTGTGTGTGTGTGTGTGTGTACTTATAAAGCTGTGGTTGTGAGGACCGGTTTGATGTCTGGACTCATGCAGGACCGTTTGGGAACAGGGAGTAAACTTAAAATGTTTCAATTCCTCAGACCCATTCAGAGCAAAGCTTAACAAGAAAATGTGTTTTTAGAATAAAAACCTGTTCATGTTTAGGATTGTGTTTTGATATAGTAAACAGGTGGCTGTCAGATAACTTGTTGCTGATAACTTGGACAAGACAGAGGCTCTGATTCTGGACCCAGGAAATAAGATTGTGTTGATAAAACAGCATCTGGGCTCTCTACGTCCAGCTGTTTGTCAGGATCTCCAAAACCTGGGAGGTACTTTTGATTCAGTCATGTTGCTGGTAAAACACATAATTAGGTTGTTACATGCTTCTTTCAACTACGTAATAGTTCTAAACTACGATCTCTACTGTCTGCCTCTGACTTGGAAACGGTTATTCATGCTTTCGTTTCGCGCCATCTGGATTAAYGTAATAGTTTGAATTAAAAGCAGCTGAGTCGTCTTCAGCTTGTCCAGAACTCTGCAGCCAGGCTTTTATCTCTAAATTCAGTCACATTACCCYGATCTTTTCTGAACTTCAGTGGTTACCTGTTCATTTTAGGATTCGGTTTAAAATATTGGTCCTTACTTTTAGAGCTCTAAAAGGTCAGGCACCTGCCTATATTTGGGACATGCTCTCTGCTCTTTTCTTCTAGCTTTTGGAAACGTGTTCAAATCTGCCTGTACTGAGTGAGTCATCAGAGTGTTCATAAGTGATGAACCTACCAGCACAGACAGCTCCACAAACTCAGGCTCCAGAAACTGGGCATCCACAGCTGGCCAGGGCTGCTGCAAGACGTCTCCTCCTTGCAGGAGGAGGGGGCTGAGGGGGTTCTTCACCGCACAAAGACCTGGAGAAACCAGCAAGAAAACCTGCCGTCAAATTAAACATGATAGAAATGCTTAAACACTTAAATATGTCTGTGTGTGTGTGTGCGCGCGCGC